GCTGCGCTTCGCGGCCCCGTGTCGCTCGCCTGCCTGCCTCCTCCGCGCTTCTCTCCGGTCGGTCTGCTCGGCTGCCTTCGGGCACGCGCAGCCCAGCAATCAGACTGAGGTTGCCCAGCAATCAGTCTGCGGTTGCCCGAACAGTCTTACTCTCTCCCTGCGCGCGCAGCCAAGTATTATCCCACTCCTGGATGCCCCCCAGAAGGTCTTGGAGTTCGCTTTCTCCCAGGAGCCATTGCGCTGACAATGCTTTGAGTGGGGCTCGGCTTCGAGGAGCGAGGCTCGAGGGGCCTCCGATCGAGGGCCGAGGTCTCTGGGCGTCTCCGCGGGCCGAGTCTCTCCAGTCCGCCACGCGGAGAGGGGGGCAGGGGGGAGGGGGAAGGCTTCCTCGAAGGAGCCTGCTTCTCAGAAGGCGCGGGCCCCCTCGGAAGACGCAAGGCCGGCGCCTTCCGAGAAGCGCCCCCCTCCCCCTCCCCCCCGCCCGTCCCCCTGGCGTGCGCCGCCGGTGCCTCTTCCCCCCGTCTTCGCTCGCCGCCCGCCGCTGCGGCTGCTGGCCGCGCTCTCTGCCGGGCGCCTGGCGCCCTGCTCTGCCGCCCTGCCGCTCTCCCGTGTGCCGTCGGCCCTCCTGCGGGTGCCGCCCGTGGGCGCTCCCGGGCCCGCAGGCGCGGCCCGGGAGGCCACGCCCCTCGCCCAGGGGTGGGGTCTCGCCGCGGAGAAGGGCACGGCGCCGGAGCACAGGGGAGGGCGGGGGGAGTGGGCTCCGACGCCACCGGCGTGCAGTCCAGCGCTGGGCCACGATGGCGCTTCTGAAGCTGATGTCTGGGCCGTCCCGTCCCCCCCCCCACAACGAGGGAGAGAGAGAGAGAGAGAGAGAGAGACAGAGAGAGAGAGAGAGAGGCGGGGAGGGGAGAGGGAGGAGGAGGAGGAGGAGAATGAGGAGAGGGAGGGAGGAGGGAGGAGAGAGCAGAGTGAGGAAGGGAGAGAGAGAGATGGAGAGTGAGTGAGGAGGAAGAGAGAGAGAGAGAGGGAGGGGAATTGAGAGGCAGGAGGGAGGGAGGGAGGGAGGGAGGGAGGGGGGGAGGGAGGGAGAAGAGAGAGAGAGAGAGAGAGAGAGAAGGAGGGAAAGAAGGATGATGATGATGATGATGATGATGATGATGATGATGATGATGATGATGATGATGATGATGATGATGATGATGATGATGATGATGATGATGATGATGATAATGATGAGGAGGAGGAGGCCTGTGGGGGGCCTCCTGGGGGCTTCCTGGAGCCTCTTGGTGGCACTGATGGGCCTGTTCGGACTCTCCTGGGGCGTCTTGGGCACCTCTGGGATCTTGGGCCGTCTGAGCTCTCTTGGCCAGTCTGGGGCCTTCAGATGTCGTCTTTGGGGTCTTCCTGGGCCGTCTTGGAAGCCCCTTTGGGCTGCTTTAGGCCTGTCTTGGGGACCGACTGAGCTGTCTTGGCGTTGGGGCATTCTCGATACCGTCTTGGGGGTCCCTCGGCCCATCTTGGAGCCCTCTTAGGGCCTCTTGGACCGTCTGCAGGCTAATCTTGGAGGCGTTTGGGGCCATCTTGGGGTGTGCGAAGCCAATGAATTAGCGAGATCGCGACAATCATTGAAACGCATACAGGACATCTACAATTTTAGCATCTTCCAACCCCAGATGGCCTCTTGGAGCCCTCTTGTAGCCCTCTTGGGCCGTATCTGGAGCTTCTTTGGCCGTCTTGGGCCATCAGGGGCGTCTGGAATCTTGGGCGGATACTCTTGAACCGATCTTGGGCGGAAAAGTCGTTGGGAGCGGGTGTTTTGGATGGCGGCGGGTTGGGTCGGAGGTCACCGGGAACCTCTTGGAACGGCCGTATCCGCAAGCCCACTCGGCAGGCCAGTGGGGCGGCGGATCTGGTGGCCTTCGGCCCATCCCATCTGCCTCGGTCCGGTTGGGCCTCGAGGGCACGCGAGGGCTTCCGAGGCTAGTTCGTGTTCCCCCGTTTGGGGCCGCCGAAAACACTGAAAACGTCAGCAGGTTTTGACATTAGTTTGTGGGAAGGTCACGCGGGGCCCCCAGAGATCGCCCAGGAGTGCTCGGAGCTCTGGAGTCTGGGTTGGTTGGCGTTATATTGCGGCATCGCAAGGAGTTGAGGACATTTCACTCGGTGCATCGCGGAACGATGATGGATATATGACATAAATTATACTTGTGGGCACGTTGTTTGTTTGTTTGTTTGTTTGTTTGTTTGTTTGTTTGTTGTTGTTCGTTTGCTTGTGTGTGTGTGTGTGTGTGTGCGTGCGTGCGTGCGTGCGTGCGTGCGTGCGTGCGTGCGTGCGTGCGTGTGCGTTCGTGACTTCGTGCGTGCGTGCGTGTTTGTTTGTTTGTTTGTTTGTGTGTGTGTGCGTGTGTGTTTGTTTACGTGTGTTTGTGCGCGTGAGAAAGTAGACCTGTGCTATGTTAGCGTGTAGATCGACATGCGTAGACACATGTAGGTCTATCTAGTGAACCGATGGGTCGTTAGATCGTGTATAGGTCAGCACGTTTGGCGCGCCTGTCGCTCATTTTGTCATCGGCGAACCAGGGGGGGTCAGTGAGAGGGGAAACCCTGGGCCCTCGACGGACGAGCAGACGCACGAGTCTGCCGCCGCCCTGGGGGCGACCCAAGATCGGCGGCGAGCACGGGGGGTAAGTGAGAGGGGGCAGTCCTTCTCAGAAGGCGGCTGGGCTTCTCAGGAGCCCTCGCGCCTTCTTGTGAGAAACTGTCTGTATCTTCGGAGAAAGCCTAGACAACTTCTCAGAAGGGCCGAGACCTTCAGAGACTTCTGAAACGACCCGCCCCGTCTGAATTCCCTCTTGGTCTCGCCGCCGATCTGGGCCTCCCAGACCAGGTCGGAGTAGATGGGGTCGGAGGATCACGCCGCATCACCGATGCATC